ATTATAAATTAATTTGTAAACTTTTTGGATATAAATAAAGTCTATGCCAAATTTTGTATGTGTGTGTATATATATATATTTACTCCTTTACCTGCTTATCATTCATTTGCTGTTTGTGAGTCAGGTTCACATGGCCACAGTTGACTCTCTGGATATTTGCCAACTATATCTTCAAATGAACATTTTTAAATTCTTAGCTAGTCTTGTATTCACCATCATAGGTATAATTAGAATTAAAGATCTGGGTACTGTACAAAAAAAAACAAAAAAAAAAAAATAGCAAATAACCAAAAATTCAAGCCAAAATATGGCTCATATTGAGAGAAAAAACTAATGTGTAAACCTTTTCATATGAAGATGTATTAATAAACTGTATATTCAAGAGAGTATATTAACTATTTTTTTAAATAAAATTTCCTATGTAATATCATTGGTTTTTGGTATTCAAAAAAAAACCTTTGAATGGCCAATCAAAATTCGAAAATCAATTTCCATTTATGGTATAATCCCAGACTGTAACACCATTGAAGAATAATTTTTGAAATTATTTTTAATAAACTAATATTCATCACAGTATCCTTTTTAAAATATTTAAAACAAGAATCAAATAATATTCCTTGCTTATTTTTTTTTAATAACAAGTTTTTATTTATATATATATATTAAAAAACTGCATTGTTTATTTAGAATGAAAATTATAGACACTCTACTACATTCAAAGAGAATTGGAAGAAAAATCATAAAAAACAAGTGAGATTAATGATACTGTTGTAAGCATTAATTTTTCATTAATAATATTATAGCATAATATGATACACTTTTTTCAAAAAAAAATTTTCAGAAGCCATTCTTATTAGTAATAATATAAATTGTTAAATTCTTAGACACTGATTTAGCTTTGAAACTGATTCAGAACTGGCCCAAGCTTGGATCTGTAAAACCAGTAAAAAGTTCAACAACTAAATGACTTGCACTGCAGTGATAAAAAATTATAATTTATTGAAAAACTATCTGCATATTCATATTAATACAATTGATATTTCTTAATAGCATAAGCTGACATATAGTCAAACCTTGTCACAGCAGATGAATGGAACACATACTTAAAATCCGTTATGACAAGAATTTAATCATAGTTCGCTGTGATAAGGTTTAACTGTATACCTTTCATAAACTGTCAGTTTGACTAGTTGAATCATACTGGCTGTCAGTTTACTATTAACATAGTAAGCCAACAGTTCAAATAATTTTTTACTTGATATACATAGGGATGGGAAATTGCATGAAAATTTCATACTGCATCTGCCAATCTTTTTTATTTTTTAAAAAAAAAACTAGTGTAGCAAGTAATAGATCGATAATCACCACCACCACCTTTTTTAATATACAGGAAAAAAAATTAAATAAATAAGTTGTTATTTGTATACTTGTATGTATTATATATTCATAAGAATAAATAAGTAAAAAAAAATTAACTTGTTTGGTAATTCAATTTTTATTTTTATTTCTCATTATTTGCATCTGGCAAATCCTTTTGACAAATAGTCTTTTTATTATAACACACCTCAACTTTAATTTTATTTTTTTCACTGATGGTCGGTATATAAGTGAAGGTTATATAGTAGTCCCTATTTCAAAATAGATAAATATAAATAATTACCCATTATCAAAGGTAATCAGTTTTTATTATTGTGATTATTATTAGTAGTAGCACGAATTTCTTGATTGCACCAAAAGTAATTGTGTCGCTTGTATTTATTATTAACACGAAACACTATATTGATGTATTTATGATAAAATGTGCTTGAGAATTAAAATGTACATGTCCGAACCTAGTATAAATATACAGTGAACAATGTATTTTGACAAAAAACATAAGATATATTAAATTATAATATTTATTTGATACCAGATAGCTTCTTAATATGAAAATATATGGCATCAGGAATGTTGTCTTGTATCCAATTTTTGAAAAAATTAGAATCTCTATTGACATTCCCAATGAACACTATTAATTGTGGATCATTGCAACAGGAACCCATATTAAAAAATGGACAATGAATAAATAAATTTTGTTTTCTTGAACTCACATTATGTTTTATTAAGCATGGGAGTGGATGACCTTTAAACCATTGGGAATGTATTGGAAGACAATGCTTGAAAAGGGTATGACATTAATTAAAAAAACATAACAGCATTCACTTGAGAACAAGGGAAATCGTAAAAAAAATTTTCAAAAAAAAAATGCATTAGGTTAATCAATCAATATATATATATATTATTCCTTTTTAATAAAACCTTAATTTTTTTTTGAAATAAAATCTTTAAACAAAATCGTCGGTTTCTTTAGAATTAATTATTGAATAAATTACACAAGTGGGACAATTAAAAGGCATTTTAAAAAAAGTTTACTTGAAATGATATTATTTAAATTTGTGAAAAAAATTTTTAAAAAGTTAATTAATGATTTTTGTAAAAATGTTATTTGATTGATGAATCTACAACAACTTCAATCCAAAATCAACCATGTTTATATATTTTTAAGGATTTTTTATTTATTTGTTTTTTTTTTTTTTTTTTGATAAAGTTAATTTTAACACTATCAGAGTCGTAAAAAGTAAACACAAAATTTTTCGCACCTAATGCGGACATTCTCCGAAAGGCTTATCCTATCTTACCTGGACGTGGTGGAATAGGTTAACCCTAGGCTGGACAAATTCCGACGGAAAATTCGCTAAAATCATCCGGAGCATTCACTACATTCACCGTGATTATCCGTGATTATCACCGGGTAAATATGCCCCCGGCGAGGTAATATAGGATAAAGCCTATTTTGTACAACTTCCCCTCACTATCCCTGTCCGCATGTGCTGATTTTTCGAGTGTAATTTTTTTCTTATATATATACAAGACTTAAAAGACTAAACTAAATTATAATGTTAAATTCCTTAGCATGATCAATACAAAATAATAATTCCAGCTGTTTTCTTTAATTTTCTTTTAGAAATAAACAATAAATTTCTAAAATAAATAAATAATCGTTTATTAATTGTTAATTAATCTGTTTTAGTACGATCAAATAAATCTGGTTTTTTTCTCAATAATTTTTACGATTTTATCTTATTCATTTTTTTTTTTAATAATAAATAATTTATCTAAAAATAATTAGTGTATGTTCAAATAAAATATCGAGTCTCAATGACTATTTTTTTTAGAAATAATAAATAATATTTATTAAAAAAAATTTTTTTTATACAAGATCATCATAAATAACGATATTATTATCTTTTTCCCTTTTTAAATACATATGTCAATCGTAATCAAATTTGATTGTCATAATTTTATTATCTTTTGCTTTGTTTAAGGCTAAATTTGAACCACATAATATGACAGACCAAGAATTAGATCCGGATACTGAAAGCATTTCGGAGATTCAAAATGGTTTATATTTTATCCTAGTAATTTTTGGGAGAGCGAATTTGATTGGCGACAATAAAAATAAAAATAATGATAGGTTATGAGAATTGGGTGTTTACTAACGATTCGATTATTTCTCAAGTCGAAACTTGTTACTTTTATTCTTTTCCAAAGAAAAGTTGCTGTTTAAAGTACATGGAGTTCGAGTTGTTTATATACATAATGTTTCATTAGAGGACTACTTCCTCGACCAAGTTTATTTTATTGTACTCTTGACCAAGAGAATTTTGTACCGTTGTACTTAAAGATACCTGACGAAATGTATTCTACCGCCAAAGGCATATTGACGAAAAGAAGAAAATGTGATGAAAAGTAAAAAGGGGAAGATACAATTTTCTCATTTATCACAAAGAAAAATATGTAAAGATCCATAGTAACACCAGAACAATATTGTTTGCAAAATGGTTGTAGGACAGTTATTAATATTGTAGTATTCTTGTTCGAATTAATCATCACTATTTTCTGATAACAAACAACTGCCAGTTTCATTAGCTTCACAATAATCATAAAAATAACCACCTTCTGTTCTGAAGAAAATAAAATGCAGGCCACACCCAATACTGTAGTTTGTATGTCTTAAGTTTCTCCACGTTGAAACATTTGGCAGAAAGATGGTAAAACGTGAATGCTGATCTTCCTAGTTGAGAAAAGGACACTTGAGTTTAGCATTTATAAATCGAGGCTGACTATCATCCAAGATTTCAGTGAACGCGTGGATATAAATTTAAGACACGTGTAAACATTATTTTTAAATTAATTACATTTCGTCAATTTCACCAAATGTGACGAATTAATATTAACAACGATTTGACGAAATGGTTTCCCACTCACAAACATTTCGTCAGGTATCATTAGTATTAGTTGTACTTTGTTGACTTTGTGCATAAAATAATCAATAAAAATCAAGTAACATGAATGACGAGAAAATTTTTAACGAATTAATATTTTTTGAAATTTATTATTATAAATAATGACAATAATTCAATGATGATAATTGATAACGCAGTAAAGGTTGGTAGATTTCAAGAACTTGGAATATATGAATTTAATTATACGTTAAGTTATCTCTTCTATCGAATATTCACAATAAATTTTACACGACAATTAAGCCTGACTTGATTAGTTGTTGTTATTGAATCTGAATCATTATAATTGGTTGATCGGTTATAGATTAAGTAAGAAATGAGATTAATTTATATACAAAATTATTTGGACTCTTTAATCCGAGATAAATCCAATAGGGTTGTTATTTTATGTTCATTCATATAGAGAATGTTGATATTGCCGAAATAATTAAAACAATTTCGACCGACATCTATGAAAACTTAAAATATTAATGACGTGAACAATCGGCAATACAAGGAAACGAAATTAGCAGATTCTCGAGGCCCAGAAAGTCTAGAAGATTTTCAATCTATATAACAAAAATATGATATTCAAGAAAGTTCTTCTGTTACAAGTACTCCATCCTGTATTAGTATGTTCGAAAATAATTCGTATTCATTGTATGCCTGCCTATGAAATGCTAAATTTCCATTATGAAATTTTGGATGTTTCATATATACAATAAACCAGTTATTGCATGCAGAAACATGCAATAACTTGTAAGAAAAAGTTGTAAAAGAATAGTTTCTACATTGTTGTAAAAAATTTTTACGTCAGATTTCACCGAATTACCCTTTTTTATATAAAAATCTTTCGTTTTCACGTGGACTCTAACCATTTAATTATTCTTGCGATGATACAACATGATACACATGCAAAAACATGTAGATCACTTTCAGATATGATTAGTACCATAATTCCGCCGACTGAATTATTATTATTATTATTTATAGCATTGGCAGAAACTTATATTTGATTGAGAATTGTCTTTTCAAATATTTTAAATGATAAGACGTGAATGTTACATCTTCTGGCTGGATATTCTATTGGGAATTGGTTTATTTATGTTAGAGATCATCGCAATTAGCATGTTTTGGATGAATTCGAGGGAGGTCCCGCCAAAATTAATGTACCACGGTGACGCACGCACCAATTATTTGAGATTATAAATATTTGTGTCTATTAATTAATATTAAGCACCAACTCTATCTATAACAGTCAAAACAATGAAAAAAGTACTGTTGCAAAATACAAAAATAAATAAATTGCATAGTGACAACGAATTCAAGTTGTAAATCGTGTTTAGGTGACGGTAAAGGAATATTCATATTGATTGTTAAATAAAATTATGAAACAATGACGTTTCTAAAAAACAAACATTGTTGGAAATCTTTATATATATATATATATATATATATATATATAAAGTGAAATTGTCAAGCCTATTGTGAAGACGATTTACTAACAGTTAAAACTAATGTTAACGGCGACTGAGGATTGATATAAATTTTGTTTTCATTTCGCATCATTTTTAAAATATTATTATTATTTATTATATGTTTGTAATAAATCAATATTAATATTAATGGATTACTGCATGATAATACAGTTATTATTATTAGTCATCGTCATCCACTAATAAATGAAAAAAATTTTTTTACAGGTATACACCTGAATAGTATTTAATTATTTATTATCATCATTATAAATATAATGGTATAATCGTAATATTTTTAAAAAAAAAAATTTTTTTTTTTTTTAAATTTTAATGTCGATCGTCAAATTAATTAATCTCTTCGTATATAACCTTTAAAATTAAAAAAACACAATATAATATCAAGTATAGTTAAAGTTTAATTACCAAATTTGTCCATTTTCTAATTTAAAATAAATTTCAGTTTTTTCGATTCAATTTTGATTTTTCTTTGTGAGACTTTGTTTAAACATTCTTGGGTTATTTCGTTGTTATTTTTTTAGAATTAAAAACCTTATTTTCCATATCGGGTTGTCTATCGACTATAATACTAAGAACTGACAATATTTAAAAAAAAATAATAAAAAAAGATTATTTTTTTCATTTTGAAAAAAATAAAAAATAAATTATCTTTTTTTATTTTTTTCATCATTATTATTATTATTAATTATTAAGTTAATTAGTAATAATAATACTGTACTCAGAGTTTTTTTATTAACTTCCTTTTACACCGTTCCATTTTCGTAAATAGATTAGTGTAGTGTTGGCAGTGCCAAGCTCGCATATAAAATATAAAATATATAATTAGATATTTTTAAAAACAAACTTACTTTTTTTATTATTATTATTATTATTTCGAAAAACGCAGGTCGTTCTACAACAATTATAAATACTAAAGGCACCGTTTTCGAAAAAAAATTTTTTCAAAAGCAAAAACTGGAACAAGTTGATCATCACAATAGTAGTAGTAGTAGTAGCATCATTGCCAATACTAATAATATCAATAAATAATATTAATACATAATTAATATATAATGGCTACGAAGACGATGATAATTTTAGCAAGAATTATTATATTCTTAATTTCTTTATCATTATCGGTAGGTTTAATTAAACTAACCATTAAAAAAAATATAATACTAAACTTTTTTTATAATTAATAATTTTCATACTTATTTGATTCTTATAGCTTTATTCATTATTTGTCGCCACAGTAACCTTTAGAGATCTAAATTGTAAGTTTTACGATAATAATAATAATAATAATAATCAATTAATAAATCATTAAAAAAGAAAATATCGAAATATAATCAATTATTTATTTATTAAATTGTATAAATTCTAATAGTTACGCTTACAATTACACATCTGAGTAAACCAATAATAATCGGATACGGTATAATTCTTGTTCTAATTGCACCTTCTGGTTTATGGGGAATTGTTGGATCTATCTTGGTATAAAAAATAGATATTTATTTAAAAAATTTTTTTTTGTAATTAATTAATTAACGACAATAATAATGATGATTTTTTTCGCTTTTCCTTTCTTTCATCATCATCATCTTCAACCCCTCTTTCTTTCATTCTTCTCCTATTTACAGAATAATCCGGAATTAACAATTCGTTATATACGAGATCACTGGTTCGCGCTAATAATAATATCCATTATAGATATTATTAAGACTATTTTTCCATTTGTCAATAAAGATCAAGTCATAAACGATTGTTTGGGTCCAGCTACTATGAGTGATGTAGATACTGCTGCTACGAATTGTCAGAATGATTTTGATTTCAATCAAAGAGTGAGTTGGATAATCTTTGGAGGTCAAGAAGTTATATTGGTTAGTTTAAACTTTTAAAATTTTCAATTTCCAAAAACATTATTATTAATATTAATATACTTATTATTAGGTCGTACTTGGAATTATTGCATGGCGATGTCAAAGAAATATCGGTGTAAAACCTGGTATAGATAATAATAAAACGAAGAAGGATAAAAAGTCTAAAAAATCCAAGAAACTATCTAATGATGATAATACAATTGATCAAGATAGTGATCTTTCTTCAATAATTGTACAACCTTCTCAATCTTATATTAATGATAAAGATAACGATAATTTGGACACATCAAATTTTAATATTAATAATAATAATAATAATAATAATAATAATAATAATAATAATAATAATGATGAGAATGAGAATGAGAATAATAATAATGAGAATAGCAATAGTGATGATAGTATTATTAACAATAATGGAATCAATCAAGAAGCAGCGAGAAATTATAATCCACAAAACTCAACACAATTATATCAAGATCTAAACTCAGTTTCCAATCTTTATCCCAACAGTTCAAATCCAACTCCCAATTTTTATCCCAATAATCCAAATCCGCCTCCTGCATCGTTGTATCAAAATCGTCAATTAAATACTTCAGATAGACAACTTTTACCACCTAAAAGATATAATACTTTATCATCAACATCTCATAATCAAAATTCTTCAAGAATACAGCAAGTTCCACCATTCCAACAACAACAAAAAAATTATCAAAAATATGCAACATACCAACAAATTATCGCTGCCACAACTAATGGTAATGGTAATGGTAATGGTAATGGTAATGGTAATAACAATACTCAAATCCCAAATTTTGCTCAACAACCATTAATACAATATCAACAACCTCAACTTCAACCTCAATATTCTCATCATCAACAACAACAATATCAACAACTACAACAACATAATTATATTACTAATCATAATGATGACTCACAAGATGGTCATGTTCGTACTCATAGGCGTTCAAAAAGTAATCCACAATTAAGACCTTTACCTAAACCACCAGGTGCGGACGAATCTCAAATCCCACAGATCCCACAAATCCCAATAATACCAAATTCATCATCAATAATTCCTATTCAACCACTGTCTACACCAATACGGCAACAGCAACTATTTCAACAATTTCCAGATCATCATCAACGGCCAAAAATTAACGATTCTCGATATGTTTCGCAAATGCCCAAGAGATCTTCTACGAGTAGTCGCTTTCACCAACCATTTCCTCCGCTAGTTGTTGATCAAAACTTACCTTACCAGTCACTTCGCTCAAACTCTTTACCAAGTGTTTATAAACCAAAAGAATTATTTGAACAAGAATTAAGCGTTGCTCCTCCTGTTCCTTCAATTTCAGGTAGTTCAGGGGATAATAATGAACATTCGATTCCTGATAGTTTAATACCTGGTGGTAATAGATCTTCAATCGCTAGGAAAAAAACAATTCCTAAACCTAATAATAATAATAATAATAATAATAATAATAATAATAATAATAATAATAGCTTAAAGAAATATGTCCCTCCAGCTTTATCATCGCTAGAGAACGGTAGTAAAACCGCTCTTGAGCGTTTCATTCACACTTACGGTAATGTCACACCTGAAAGTCCATCATTCAGACATTCTGATGTACAACCATTACCAAAACCTAAATCCAATGATGATGAGGATGTTAATAACGATGTTACTGATAAAAATAATGAAAATAATTACGATAATAAGAATAGTATTAATAATAGTATTAATAATAGTGACAATGCTAAAAATGTTAAACGTCTCCGTCCAAAATCTGCTCATTCTGTTAAAGGTGAGGCAAGTCCAAAATTTAATGTTCCTTCGGTATACAGTGGAATACCAAATGGATATTATAATAACTATAATAATTTAAATAATAATAATATAAATAATAATATCAACAACAACAACAACAGCAGCAGCAACAGCAACAGCAACAACAATAACAATCATCTTCAAGACAAACAATTTATACCACAAAGTAGCTACTATTATAAATAATTATTAGTATTAACATATACAGTGTATTTATGATAAATGTATCATATTGTAAGTTTTTAATCTTTGTATTTATAAAAACAGTTAATTTGAATAATTTTTGTAAAAAATAATAAAAGATAAAAGGACACTATTTTAACAATTCATATTCTTTTCAACAAAACTAAAAATGACATGAAAATTTACGAATAATTATGGAATACGAACTCGCGTGTATTTGCTTTGGAAAATTATTTTATTTACAAAAGTTTTCAATTTTTTTGGCAAATGCGAGGGTCGATTTTTTCGAGTTGGTATTTTGCATCGTCCTTTTGAATATTTATTGAGTCTATAACCCAGGAATGTGAGAGAAAGATAGAGACGAGGAACTACTAAAGCTCTTTGTTCCGCTATCAAAAGTGGCACCCCAGATTTTGCATAATACTGGAATGCCTTGATGCGCCAATGCCCACATGGAAGAGTCGTTATTCCGTCTGAAAATATCCAACATTTTGTATCAAGAGAGCAGAGTACCTTTTTTTCCCGACTCAACAATGGATAATATATATTAATATGGCCTTTAGAGCCTGTTCCGATATTTTTTTCATAGAAGATTTCATTCTCGAAGAGACAGTCCCTATACAATTAGATCGTCGAACTAAAGGTCTTATCCACTAGATCGTCTAAGAGAGATCTTCCAAGGCTAGGGAAGTATGTATCTGCCATTCCCCTTTATGCTTCGATTTGATGGTTCTGTCCACCAAAGTATAATTTAGCCCTAATCACAAATACTTCAGTCATTACAGGTTTGGAGCACTCACCCTTCGTCAATCCTAAAGTTTTATAGGGTGTTCAGGATTATGCTTTTTTTTTTTGCCCAAAATTAAAATATATAAAATTTAATTAACGATCCATCTATGAATGAGTGAAATGTCGATCTTTTTACTATTAAAAACCGGAGAAAATATATAATAATAATGATCTGCAAAAATATATTCATCCCCGTCATGTGATAAAATTTAAATGAAAGAAAATGAAAAAAAAACTTTTACGATTTCATTTTTGTTTGTTTTTGAAAGGATTTAATCAATAATGAAGTAATTATAGTATCATTTTCCTTTTTTTAAAGTTTTGGAGTTTTGAAATGGTTTTGAATTTTGGAGTTTAAAAACAGTTTCGGAATTTAATAGTTTCGGAGTTTCGGAGTTTCGGAGTTTCAAAAACAATGTTTCTATTCATAACACAATCTTGTTCAATCTTAATTATATTTTATTTGTTCAACTGTTTTATTTCATCCATTGAATACTCAAATTGATTAATTATAATGAATAATTTATTCGAATTATATATTTTTTTGTTGTTATTTTAATAAGTTACACGAACGTAAAAACTTTTTTATATATGAAAAATCTCACTCATCTCTACATCCCCAAAAGTAAACCCATTTTTTTTCAATATTCTTAAAAAAAAATACATAAATATGTTCTTTGACATTTGTTTCATAACCTAAAATCAAAAAAT